AAAAAAAAAAAAAAGCTGAGTGTTGGTGGCCACCATGGCCTGTTCGGCTCCCAACTACACAGGCGAGGCTGAGGTGGCGAGGATTTGCATGAGCTTTTTGGGAGGCAGAGGCTTGCAGCTGGCTGAGATCACACCGACTACACTCCAGGCCCTGCAGTTGACAGAGCTCAGCCTTGTCTTCAAAAAAAAAAAAGAGAGGAGAGAGTAAAAGACTTCAGCAAACCTAATGATGCATCACCTTTTAAAAGAATTTTTTAGAAATGCAATTAGCAAATCTAAACCCAAAATTAAGGCAGACGAAAATAAATAAATAAAACGCCATCAGAGCCAGATCAGAGCCAGAAATCAAAATCGAAACAAAATTAAATCAAAGCTCACAAAAACAAAAAAGTCACTTTTTTTTGGACAAGATAACAAAAGATTAGACAAACTCTTTCTGACAGACTAAGCAAAATAAGAGGAAGACATTCAAATCAGACAAAGAGAGATACATTACAACTGATATCACTGAAACTTCAAATGTATTCTTCAGAGAACTTCTTTATGAGCACACTATTTGATATTTATGCCAAAAGGCTGGAATAAGCGCACGAGGACATTGATAGGATTCCTAGACACATACAACCTACCAGGATTGAAACATGCAAGAAATGTAAAAGCCATGAATACACCAAGTAAACATACAATGAGAATAGGGCAGTGGAGTGCGAAAGTTCTCCCATCAAAGAATAAGCTGGCGTGGCGCTGATGGCTTTCACTTGGCTTAATTTCTGCAACATTAAAGAAGAACTGAATTACCACATTTCTACTCAACTACCCAAAAAATTTAAAAGAAGGAATACTCCTTAAACTCATTTCTACAAGTCCAGCATTCGTTCTGCCTGCATCAAAAACCAGACAAAAAAAACAAAAAGAAAACTTACAGGACCAGTATTTCGCGGAATGCAGAGGCAAAAAATCCGAATTCTTAGCATCCCAAATTCAAGAACACATTAAAAAGATCTCATTCAATTTGATCGAAGGTGGGGATGCATCCCAGGATGCAAAGATTGCTTCAGCACGTATGGAAATCAATAAACGTGATACAATTGCATCAAAAGAATGCAGGACAAACCAGTATAATTATTCCAAATAGATGCTTTTAAAATTCAATGAAATCTCGGCATGGGCGCCGGCCGCGCCCTCCCCTACGTCTACGCCTGTATCCCAGCACTTTGGCAAGGGTAAGCGGCGTGCGATCACTGCCTCGGTCTGGATATGGTTTATGTTTTACTATCATGGCTAACACAGCTGAAACCCCATCTCTAGCTAACCTAATACAAAAAAAAGCAATTATAGAAACAAGGGCATTGGGGTAGGCGGCTGCAGGCCCCAGCTATTCGGTGCGAGGTGGGGTAGGCGCCTGCAGCCCCAGCTATTCGGGAGGCCGAGGCAGGAGAACAGCGTGAACCCGGGAGGCGGAGCTTGCAGTGAGCCGACAAGGAGCCACTGCACTCCAGCCTGGGCGACAGAGTGAGACTCCGTCTCAAAAAAATTAAAAAATTTAAAAAAAAATTCAACAAAATTCAACATCCTCTCATGAGAAAAATCCTGAACAAACTGTCCATAGAAAGAACATTACTTCAACACAATAAATGTCTTATAAAATAAACTCACAGCTAGTATTATACTAAATGGGAAAAAAACTGAAAGCCTTTTCTCTGATCTGGAACAAAACAAGGATACTCATTTTCACCACTTATTCAACATAGTACTCAGAGTTTTAACCAGAGCAATTGGACCACAGAAAGAAACAAAAAGCATGCATATTAGAAAGAAAGTCAAACTGTCGTTGTTTGTAGATGATGTCACTTTATATTTAAACAAACCCAAAGATTCGTCCAAAAAACTGTTAGAACTCATAAATGAATTCAGTAAAGTTTCAGGACACCGCCGGGTGCGGTGGCTCATGCCTGTAATCCCAACACTTTGGGAGGCTGAGGTGGATGGATCACTTGAGGTCAGGAGTTGAGACCAGCCTGGCCAACATGGCGAAACCCTGTCTCTAGTAAAAAATTCAAAAATTAGCCTGGCGTGGTGGCACACGCCATTTGTGGATATGAAGTCCCCCAGAACCTCTGGCCAGGTGTGGTTGTGATGTCCCCCAAGCAGCTCTGGCCAAGTGGGGTTATGAAGTCCCCATTCCCAGTACCTTCGGCCAGGTGGGGTTATGATGTTATGAAGTCCTCCCCCGACCAGCACCTCTGGCCAGATGGGGTTATGAAGTCCCCCCAACCGCCCCTGAGGACCAGGCGTTGTAAAAGCGAGCCGGGACTGCTAGCCGGTCGGGACCGCTGCTTTGCTTCGCTGATGCTGGTTGTGTAGCACGGATGTGCGTAGCGTGATTGTGTTGTGTGGATGGTGGCACTGAGATCCGCAGGGACCATCACTGCAAGGAGCAGCTGCATGGCCGGGAAAGTTCAGCAGCTGAGCGGGTCAGGGTTCCTGGAAAGGCAGGTCCCAATGCATTTCCCGACCGGGCACCTAACGGGCTGCTCTCAAAAGCACTGACTATCACCGAGGCTGGCCAGAGACCCTTAAGTATCTAATTCACGATGACACCAACTAACTCTGAGTACAGCAGAAAATGTACAGTCGGGCGGCCAGAATATGCACACTCGAGCCGCCACCATGGGACAGCTCCAGGCAGTACCCACCACAGCAGGAGCTCGAACTGTCGCGAGAATAACTGCCAGCTTGCTAGTTGCCCGGCACGGGAAGGCGAACTCTCGCGAGAAGGCCGCCAGCTTCGGGGGCAACTGCCGCGGGACCTCGAACTCTCGCGCGACAGCAACCAATTCGTTAGAAGCGCGTTGCAGGCGCGCGAAACATGGCGCGGCACGGGCCGCCGTTGAGCTGGCTGGACGCGCAGCAGGAGCGCGACGTGCGGGAGCTCGTCCGGGGTGTCGCCGGCCTCCAGGACGAAGCAGACCCCAACTTCCAGCTCGCCCTAAACTTCGCCTGGTCCAACTTCAGGTGTGGGGCGCGGCGCGTGAGCGGGTCCCGGGACACAGCCTGGAGCCCGCGCGTGGGTCCGGCGCAGCCCGGGGTCGGGGTGCGCTGGGGCGGGGCATGGGGCTGAGGCAGACGCGGTCTCAGAGAGCCCTTGCAGGCCCTGCCGCCGCCCACTCCCCGCGGCCAGCGCCCTCGGCGCGGTACTCTGCGCACCCCACGGTGTGTTACCTGGAACGCGTCCTGATCGTCACGGGGGGAAGCGTGGAACTGGGTTTCTTGCCACCGGGGCGCGCTCCTGCAACCCAGCGCTCTGGGAGGCCGCAGGCGGGACTCGAGGCCAGCCTGGGCGACGTAGCAACTCCATCTCTATGATTTTTTATTTTATTTTATTTTTTTTTAATTAAAGAGATTGTATTCTCACTGACTCCTGCTCCCTGGTCAGCCCAGTGTAAGGTCTCTCTCACCCTGCTCTCCTTTTTACAAAACGCGTGTCATGACATTGATTTTACCTGTCATGACTGTCTCCTCCGCTTCCACTCCAACTAGAATGCTGCATCTCTGCACGGCGCCTGACAACGTAGCAGGCTTAGTCAGCTAATGCAATTTCTAATGCAGTTTCTCTTGTAACTAGTTTTTAAAGACTTACAGAATTTAGATGTATACGTGGAGTGAGATCTATTTTTCTTTATGGGAGAGGGAAATTAAACAATACTTTTATAGTCATTACCCATAATGAAATTACTAAAAGAATGTTAATGTTAATATTCTACCTGTTTAATTTCAGTAAAAATATTGAATAATGAACAGTTTTTTAAAATCCGTAATTTTAGTTACTTTAATGATCATAGTCATAAAGTGTCTAGTTGGCTTATAATAGGAATATGGGGCTTTCATATTCTTTTAAAGCATGCCGAGTTTCCGAAGTAATAAACTGAATTCTTAAATGTGACTTACAAAAATAAACAATGTGTGAAATAGGTTATACAACACAAAAACTTAAATGCTGAAATTCAAGTTTTTTTTACTAATATTTCTAAATGACAGTAGGCAGATGGTCATCATTTTAGAGGTGGGAGAGACATTAGAGGTTACTGTTTCCATTCACAGGTTTCAGGAACTAAATTATAATAGGTAAAGTGGTGTACCATTCACCCATTTACTGGACTAGATTCATGTGTTTCTCAGTATTGTAATTTTTTTCTTTTAAGTACAGATTGCTGGCTTTGATACTAAAAAATGGGAAACAATTTTTGCATAGGCTATGTTATATACATATACATTAGTTGCATAGGCTATGCTATAATTTTATGATGCTTTAAACCATCAGAAAAATGAATAGTTCATGTTTACATTGTTGAAAATTGTGGCCATTTAGAATTCTAGGCCCTAGAAATTCAAAGATGAGTAAGGTATAGCCTCTGTCTTTAAAAAAAGACAGAGATAAAAGGGATTTTTAACCTTGCGATCTGGAGATATAATTCAGATATTTGTTAATTTGGATGAGGAAAAAATTATACTAATCTCTAACTGAAAAGTAGCATCTCCTTCCATTATAAATGAAGGCAGCAAACCATAGTAGTATTAGCCTACCTGTGACTTTATCGCCAGTAGAAGTCACATACTGTTTTCACATCAGAGTTGTAGATATTTGTAAATGTTGTTTACTGTTACTTTAATGGTAGTTATTGTACCTACTGCTAAATCTTGTTATTTAATACTTTCATAAATAACATTTCTTGCCATACCATAAACTTCCTGAAATATTTGACAACTGTACCCCAGTATAATTGGATTCCTTTGTATTTCGTTTTTGGCATTTAAAAACATTATTCAGAGAAGGGATCCTTAGGCTTCAGTGGGCCTCACTATAGCATAAAAAGATTGGGACCACTTGATGTAGAATGTGTTCAGCTGGATTTAGATACAGGGCCTTATGGGAAGACAGAGGAGCCAGAGCCAAGGTTGGGAGGGTCAGGAAGCACCTGTGTGCTGGAGAACGGTTGCTTGCACAGTCTCAGACACGGTGATTATTTGCCTGTCTGATGGTGGAGGTAACTGAGGACAAGGTACACTCCATTCTGGAAGTGTGTAGCTGAGTACAGAGCATATGGGGGATGTGGAGGGCCATGAGATGAGTTCACTTACCTGTGTGACAGAGTTGGCATAAGAATTGCATTTTGTCTTTATTAGATTTCATCGTTTCTTGGATGTGAACAGCCACAAAATAGAAAAAACAATCGAAGGGTAAGTCAGTGTATGTATGTACACATCCTAAAATACATGTATTTTCTTATAGATCTTTTTAAGATAGCTTTATAATCATTGTTTTTATTATGTTTTAGAATTTATGAAAAATTTATCATTCATTCTGATCTCAGCAAAGCTGCTAGCTGGAAGAGATTAACTGAGGAATTTCTAAACGCACCACTTCCCAGCATAAAGGAAATAAAGGTATGCCTTCAATTATGCGATCTCCAGTGTGTATTTTACTGTTTCCTATGTGATTATTGTCAATTTGCTTCTGTTGCTATTTAAACATTCTATTTTAGTATTATCTACTGGCTAATAGGATCTCCTGGAAATTTATTTAAATATTGCCATCAAACCAGAAATACCTCAGTTCGTGATGAAAGAAAGAGCTTGCTCTTATTTAATCATTTTTGCACCTCAGTTCTACTATGGAAAGACAGATCAGAGAGTGATACAAATAATAGCATAGTTTGGATATCTTAAAACTGTCAAATGGTTTCTCAGCACTTGGCAGTGGCTGGCTGGAGATGCTTACTAGATGCCTGGTATACTTTCATATTGTTTGGGGGATTCCCCAAGACCACCTTTTGGCATAATGCTTTGCTCCAAGGATTCACAGAACTCAAAAAAGCTGTTATCCTCACTGTTAATAGTTTATTACAGTGAAAGGATACAGATTAAAATCATCAGAGGGAAGAGGTGCTTAGAGCAAAGTCTAGGAGAAGCTAGGCACGCATGTCCAAATGTTCCTTTGCAGTGGAGTCACCTGGGGATGCACTTAATTCTCTCAGTAACGGTATATGACAACATGTGCAAAATGTTGCCCCTCCACTCCCCCCAGGGCCACTCAGCTGAGCCTTGGTGACCAGCATTTTTACTGGGGGGGGCGGGTCACATAAGCAAGCAGAGCCCAGTGTGGCTGACCTTATCTGCTCAGTCTCTAGCCCCTTAGAGGTCAAACCAAAGATGGCAAGCATATGGAAACAGCTGTGGGTTCCCTGAACACAGAGGGACCACATTCCCTAGCTCTGCTGTGGCACATCTTGTGCCTACATAGTTCTTTCCCTTTCCCCTTTTAATATTAAGCACTGTCTCCACACATGCTACATATTTCACTTCTTTATAGTTCCTTTCTTGTCTCCCCCTTTAAAATGCACATTTTACAGGCATAGGGCTCTTTGTTCCCGGACACCTAGAGCACAGTGGACAATGCATGTTTGTTGAAGGAATCAGTAAATCTGTGCAGTCTTGTCTGCTTCACTATCCCCACTCTGTCCACAGCCCCCACCCACTTACACAAGGTGGATTGGTTTTCCTTTTCTCTTGCTATGTGGCATCTTAGATGTGTTTGTTATAGCAGAGGTCTCCAACCCCCACATGATGAACAAGTACCGACATGCCTGCTAGGAACTAGGCTGCACGGCAGGAGGTGACTGGGGTGAGTGAGCATGACCGCCTCAGCTCCACCTCCTGTCAGATCAGCGGTGGCATTAGATTCTCATAGGAGAGCAAACCCCATTGTAAACTGCACATGTGAGGATCTAGGTTGCATGCTCCTTATGACAATCTAATGCCTAATGATCTGAGGTGGAACAGTTTAATCCTGAAACCAACCCCCACCCAACAGTCCATGGAAAAATTGTCTTCCACAAAAGTGGTCCCTGGTGCCAAAAAGGTTGGGGATTGCTATATAGTGTAGCGATAACTTCACACGTTTTTCCTTTTTCTTTTTTTTTTTTTTTAAGACCGAGTGTCACTCTGTTGCCTAGGCTTAGAGTGCAGTGGCGCAGTCTTGAGTCATTGCAACTCCTGCTTCCCAGGTTCAAGTGATTCTCCTGCTTCAGCCTTCTGAGTAGCTGGGATTACAGGTCCCACCACCATGCCCAGCTAATTTTTTTGTATTTTTAGTAGAGACAGGGTTTCACCATGTTGGCCAGGCTGGTCCCGAACTCTTGACCTCAAGCAGTCCACCTGCCTTGGGCTCCCAAAGTGCTGGGATTACAGGCATGAGCCACCACGCCCAGCTTCTTTATTATCCTTTTAATGTCCGTGGGATCAGCAGTGACGATCCCTCTTTAGTTTCTGATTTTAGTAATGTGTATATTCTCTCTTTTTATTGTGGTTAGTATGTCTAGAGATTCATTAATGTTATTACTTTCTTCAGCAAATCAGTTTTTGGTTTTGCTATTATTGTTTCCTGTTTTCAATTTCGTTAATTTTTTTTCTTTCCTTTTTTTTTTTATTTTTATTTTTTTGAGGCGGAATCTTGCTCTGTTGCCCAGGCTGGAGTGAAATGGTGCAATCTCGGCTCACTGCAGCCTCAGCCTCCCAGGTTCAAGGAATTCTTCTGCCTCAGCCTCCGGAGTAGCTGGGATTACAAGCATACACCACCTCACCCAGCTAATTTTTGTGTTTTTAGTAGAGACGAGGTTTCGCCATGTTGGCCAGGGTGGTCTCGAACTCCTGACCTCAAGTGATCTGCCCACCTTTGTTCCAAAACTCTGGGATTACAGGCGTAAGTCACCCCGGCCTTCTTTGTTGATATATTTTCAAGCTCATGCCAGTCTACTAGATGAGCCTATCAGAAGCATTCTTCATTTCTGACACTTTGTTTTTCATTTGGAACACTTCGATTCTTTCTTAGAGTTTCCATCTCACCACTTATATACTCATCTGTTCTTCTTGTTATCCACATTTTTCTTTTTTTTTTTTTTGAGACAGAGTCTCCCTCTGTCGCCCAGGCTGGAGTGCAGTGGTCGGATTTCGGCTTACTGCAAGCTCTGCCTCCCGGGTTTACGCCATTCTCCTGCCTCAGCCTCCCAAGTAGCTGGGACTACAGGCGCCCGCCACCTCGCCCGGCTAGTTTTTTGTATTTTTTAGTAGAGACGGGGTTTCACCGGGTTAGCCAGGATGGTCTCGATCTCCTGACCTTGTGATCCGCCCGTCTCGGCCTCCCAAAGTGCTGGGATTACAGGCTTGAGCCACCGCACCCGGCCGTTATCCACATTTTTCATTAGCACTCTTAGTATATTAATCACAGTTGTTTTCAATTCCCAGTCTGATAATTCCAACATCCCTGCCATATATGAGTCTGGTTTGGATGCTTGCTCTATCTCTTCTGACATACTGCCAGGTGGCCAGTGTTGTCTACCTGGATACCTGAGCCCAGGACTCCAGGGCTTTTACTGGGGGCTTATCTCTTAGGCATAGGACCTGCGTGACTGACCACAATTACTGAAGTTCCAGAGCCTTCAAAGGAAAGCAGGTGTTCACCTTCAGTCACACTGTTTGCACAAACTGTGTAAACAGACTAGTACAACATGGTTCAAGATTTGAACATACAGAACACTTTTGCCAGTTCAGATATTTCAAGAGCTCAGTCACCACAAGCTGGCCAAGGCTTATTTGTGAAAATAAGCCCTTTTGGGGGATGCTGAAGGCTTTGGCAATTCGGGCTTCCTGAGTTAATGCTTTGCCACACTGCTTATATCCCAATTTAAAAATCAATCATATAAATAAGGAAAGACTGCCAATCAAATAGAAACTTGAGCAAAGGAGAGTAATACCCAATAAAGGAAAATCAATAATTTTAAGCTTGTGGAAAAGTGCCTACCATTTCATAAGATAAATGCAAATTAAAGCAACACTGAGATCACATTTTTCACTGATCTGATTAATAAAAGGTGTAGGAAGCAGGTAATTCTATATGTATGTATGTTTGTATCATGTGTATGGAAGATATTTGGACATTATTTCTCAAAATTCCAAATGCAAACACTCTTTGAGTTAGCATTTCACTTTTTAGGAATTTATTATACAAGTAAACTCTCATAATTATGAAACAACAGCCAGGTGTGGTGGCCCACGCCTGTAATCCCAGCACTTTGGGAGGCCGAGGCAGGCAGATCACAAGGTCAGGAGTTCAAGACCAGCCTGGCCAACGTGGTGAAACCCCATCTCTACTAAAAATACAAAAGTTACCTGAGCGTGGTGGCGTGTACCTATAATCTCAGCTACTCTGGAGGCTGAGGCAGGAGAATCGGTTGAACCCGGGGAGGCAGAGGTTGTGGTGAGCTGAGATTGCACTATTGTACTCCACCCTGGGCAACAAAGTGAAACTCCATCTCGGGGGGGAAAAAAATGAAACAACATAAGTTTGTGATAGCGAAAGATTGTGAAAAAATGTAAATTTCATTAATAGGGGACTTGTTAAATAAAATATGGTACATCTGAGTTAAACTATCAGCCATGTTTAAGCTTCATGATACATATTGCCACAGGAGAATAACTTTTAACCATAATATTATATTCTAAAGACATTTCCGTCATTTTAGAAATAAAAGCTCTCATCCACTCAGATCTTATACTTGTTAGAAATATAGAACTCAGACTTCAGATGGCTTTGAGGTTCCTTATGTATATGCGTTTGAGCTTTGAAGAACTTGGAAGGTTAGGAATTATGTAGGTAGAACTCATGTTTTCTCAAACCAGGAAAAAAAGTGGGGACATACCTGTCATAGAGTTATCTTTACTCAGTCTAGTGTCGAAAGCATTTCCCAACCTCAGAGATTCATGTTGTTCATTTTTTTGTTTTAAAGACAGATGCACATTATTCCATACTGTCACTTCTTCTGTGTCTGTCAGACTCTCCTTCAAACAGCAATTATGTGGAGACACCAAGAGATAAAGAAGTGGGTATGTTACTAGATGCCTTAACATATGAGAAGTAAAAGAGAAATTGTTTCATTACTTGCTTAGTAAACATTGAGTTTTATTGAAACTTACAAAAATCTGTGAAACTAAAGTGTTTCTATTGTTTTAGATGCTATCACAATTATAAAATTTTATTTAAAATGCAGTCAGCCCTCTATATTCTCAGGTTCCATACCCACAGATTCAACCAAATACCAATCAAAAATATTCAAAAAAAAAATAAATAATACAACAATCTAAAATAATACAATTTTTAAAACTATTTACATGGTGTTAGGTATTATAAGTAATCTAGAGATTATTTGAAGTATACAGCAGCATGTATTTAGGTTATATGCACACACTACACCATTTTCTATCATCAGCCTTGAGCACTGTGGAGGGTGGTGTAGCTCCTGGAACCAATTCCCCTCAGATACTGAGGGATGACTGTATTCGTTTACAAACTATCTTCAGTTGTAAAAAGAGAACACTCACCTTTGAGAATGAGTTAATTAAAATGTAAAATGTTTTAGAATATAAATTTATTAAATGTTTCAATATTTTTAAATTTTTATTTCCTGAGTATTTTGAGTCTTGTTAGTCTTTTTTCCTTAGTTTTGAGGTTTTTTTCAAATGTAGATATAAGAAAGCTGATGAAGTTCTTTTGTTACATTTTTAGAAAAGAAAGATGATTTTGACTGGGGAAAATACTTGATGGAAGGTGAAGAAATGGACATTGGTCCTTACATGGACACACCAGTAAGTGGCAGTAGTTTTGCTGTTGAAAATTTAAATACACGCCAGGTGATAGAGATGATTTTAATGGGTCTTTCCACCCTAGGTCAACTTAGCAAAAACAGGAACACTCTTACTAAGCTAGAGTCATTTATTATGGAAGCCTGGTTAGGATTTTGCACCAAATCATTAGTATTAAAAAGTTAAAAGAGGCTGGGCATGGTGGCTCACATATGTAATCTCAGCACTTTGAGGGACGGGAGGATTGCTTGAGCCTAGGAATTTGAGACCAGCCTGGGCAACATAGCAAGATCTGCATCTGTTTGTAAAAAATAAATTTGAAAAAAGAAGTTGTTTGGGCTCGGTGTCTTACACTTGTAATCCCAGCACTGTGGGAGGCCAAGGTAGGTGGATCACTTGAGGCCAGGAGTTCGGGAGCAGCCTGGGCAACATAGTGAAACCCCTTCTACTAAAAATACAAAAAGTTAGCTGGGCATGGTGGTACATGCCTGTAATCCCAGCTACTCAGGAGGCTCAGGCACAACAATCTCTTGAACACAGGAGGTGGAGGTTGCAATGAACTGAGATCATGCCATTGCACTCCAGCCTGGATAACAAAGCAAGAGACTCTATCTCAAAAAAAAAAAAAAGTTAAAAGGGGTGAGTACAAGTATCCCTTAAGGATCTGTGATCGTGGGACTTTTAGCCACAAAAAAATGATTCCATTCCTTATTATTTCAACATTATAGAAAAAAAGTAATAATCGTATTTCTAGTCCTATAATAGGCACTTCCAAGAGATTTAGGAAAAAAAAATTCATTTGTTTTTCTGTTCCATGTTGCTTCAAAGTTTTTGCTTTTCTTCAAAGTCTTAGTCTTTTAATGTAAATAGCTTTAAATGTTATACTGTATAAAGCTAAAGTGTATTTCTTTTTTAAATCAGAATTGGTCTGAAGAAAGTGAAGAGGAAAATGATCAGCTGCCCTTAAGCAGAGAGGACTCTGGAATTCAGGTAGACAGGACACCGTTAGAAGAACAAGACCAAAACAGAAAACTGGATCCTTGTATCAGTTGGAAAGGTACTTTGTGTTATGAGGTGGTGACATTTTCTAACAGACAAATTCCCCAGAAGGAAAGGCAAGGTTCTAGATCACTTCCATGTGATCAAGGTGTTGGCTAAGCTCTACCATCCTTATAAAACCAATTTTTAAAATCATTAGTAATCTTTTTTATGATGCTTAAGTGTTAGTACTATAGAATTAATGTTGAACTAATACATGTAGAGTGTAATTTTGTAATTTTTTTCCTATACTTCTGAGAACTTTCTTAGCCCTAAATGTTTCCTTTTTTTTTTTTTAATTGGAGAAGGACTGATTTTGCTAAGATTGTGCCACTGCGCTCCAGCTCTGGCAACTGAGCGAGACCCTCTCTCAAAAAAAATTAAAATAAAAAAAAAAAGGGAGAACATGCATAGGTTATATGCAAATACTATGCCATTTTATATCAGGGACTTAAGCACCTGCAGATTTTCGTGTCTGCAGCATTCCTGCAACCAATCCCCAGTGGATACTGAGGAACAGCTGCATTTATTCTGGACTTTCTAATCTGTGCTCTTGGTGTCAGTGTGACCCAGAAACAGACAGACTGTTTTTTATTTATGTGGCTTTGTAGGATTATGTCTTAATACACAGATGGCAAGTTTCGTCTCAGCTACTTGGGAGGCTGAGGCAGGAGAATCTCTTGGCTCCTTTTCTTTCTCTTTTTTTTTTTTTTTTTTGAAGACAAGGGTGTCACTCTGTTGCCCAGGCTAGAGTGCGGTGGCACAATCTTAGCTCACTGCAACCTCTGCCTCCTGGCCTCAAGCGATCCTCCCACCTCAGCCTCCTGAGTAGCTGGAACTACAGGTGAGGGCCACCACACTCAGCTAATTTTTGTATTTTTTTGTAGAGATGGGATTTCACCATGTTGCCCAGGCTAGTCTCAAACTCCTAGACTCAAGCAATTCACTCGCCTCTGCCTCCCAAAGTGCTGGGATTACAGGTGTGAGCCACTGTGCCGAGCCCACTTTGCTCTTCCCCCCACCTCCTTTTTTTTTGAGTCTCACTCTGTCGCCCAGGCCACAGTACAGTGGCATGATCTCACCTCACTGCAAACTGCGCCTCCCTGGTTCTAGTAGCTGGGATTACAGGCGTGCATGACGGTACTCAGCTAATTTTTGTATTTTTAGTAGAGACAGGGTTTCACCATGTTGGCCAGACTGGGCTCAAACTCCTGACCTCAACTGATCCACCCGCCTCTGCCTCCCAAAGTATGGGGATTACAGGTGTGAAACACTGCTCTTTTTCAAAATGGCTTAGCTATTTGTGAACTTTTATTCTTCTGTAGACATTTTAGAAGCAGGATGGTAAACTTAAAAAAAAAAAAAATGGCCAGGCGCAGTGGCTTATGCCTGTAATCCCAACACTTTGGGAGGCCAAGCCGGGTGGATCACTTGAGGTCAGGAGTTCAAGACCAGCCTGACCAACATGGTGAAACCCCACGTCTACTAAAAATACAAAATTAGCTGGGCGTGGTGTCACATGCCTGTAATCCCAGCTACTCGGGAGGCTGAAGCAGGAGAATCACTTGAACCCGGCAGGTGGAGGTTGCGGTGAGCCAAGATCACACCATTGCACCCCAGCCCGGGCAACAAGAACAAAACTTTATCTCAAAATAATAAAAAATTTAAAAACAATCCAGCTGGAGTTTTTATTGGGATTGCAGAGAATTTATACATCTAATTTGGGGAGGCTTGATTGCCTTAACATAATAATAGCTACATTTATCGTAATTTTTTATCTTTTACTAGAGTTTGGAATTTTTTTTTTAAAGATCTCGAGTGTTCATTTATTAATTTCTACATACGTTATAGTTTTTATTTTTGTGAATGATGCCTCTTTATTCCTAATGTAAAAGAAATAATACTGGTTTCTGTAAGTTGTCCTTACATGCAGCGTTTTTGCTGAATTCTCATATTAATTATAATAGTTGATTCCATTTGGTTTCTTATATAGATCGTTAGTATCATCTGCAAATATTGATGGTTTTATCTCTTCGTGCTAGTTCTTATGCCTGTATCTTCTCTGTGACATGATGATCAAATCTCTTTTTCTGGCCTACCAGCCCAGCCGCTACTAGTCCGTAGCGGAAGCAACAGCTCATAGGAGTGGGCTTCCTGGACAACTCGGTCTCATCATAAGGGGGGGGTTATACCTGAAACTCCTCCGTTAAGTGTGATGGTTGTTTGGTATCAGTTCAGGGTATGTGGCCTTTATCAAATTAAGACAATTTCGGCCAGGCACGGTGGCTCACGCCTGTAATCCCAGCACTTTGGGAGGCCGAGGTGGGCGAAATCACCTGAGGTCGGGAGTTGGAGACCAGCTTGACCAATATGGAGAAACCCCATCTCTACAAAAAAAAAAAAAAATACAAAATTAGCCGGGCGTGGTGGCACATGCCTGTAATCCCAGCTACTCGGGAGGCTGAGGCAGGAGAATCGCTTGGACCCGGGAGGCAGAGTTTGCAGTGAGCCGAGATTGTGCCATTGCACTCCAGCCTGGGCAACAAGAGCGAAACTCTGTGTGAAAAAAAAAAAAAAATTAAGACAATTTCCTTCTATCCCTTTTTTCTTCTAGAAGTCTTTAATAATAAATGTTGAATTTTTATTAAATGCTATTATTTATCTGTGAGATAATCTCATAACTTTTCTCTTTTATCCTAATAATACAGTGATAGACTTTCCGATATTGAATTATCCTTGAATTCTTCATCTAAACTTGCTTGACCATGTTATTTTTTAGTACATTATTAGATTGGGTTCAATTTCGGATTCACTTTTTTTTTTTTTTAAGACAGGGTCCTGCTCTGTCACCCAGGTTGGAGTGCAGTAGTATGATCACAGCTCACTCCAGCCTCAACTTCCTGGGCTCAAGGTATCCTCCCACCTCAGCCTCCTAAGAAGCTGGTACTTCTGGTGCATGCCACCACACCCAGCTAACTTGTTTGCTTTTTCGTAGAGATGAGGCCTCACTGTGTTTGAGACCAGTCCAGCCTGGGATTGCAGGTGTGAGCCACCGAACCCAGGAGGTTAGCTCTTTTTTAATGTAGGATTTTTCATCTTTATTCTTTGATGAATTGTATTTATCATGGTTTTATCTAGTTTAAGCATCCCTGTTATATTAGCCTCATAAAATGTTAGGTGGCTTTCTCTTTTTGTGCTTTTTCAAATAACTTGTGTATGATAGAGGTTATCTAATCCTTCGAAATTTAGCACCAGTCCCGAGGCTTTGGGAGTGGTTGGGAAGGTCTTCAGTTACCGTTTCAATTTCCTTAATGGTTATTGGACGATTAACATATACCATTTGTATCTTTTTATGTATGTGGCAATTTTTTTTTTTTTTACTTTCTAGTCAATTACATTTAATTAAGTTAGTATGTGTTTCTATATGTGTGGTTTTATTTTATTTTACTTTGTTTTTTGAGATAGGGTCTCACTGTGTCACCCAAGCTGGAGCGCAGTGGCGTGATCTCAGCTCACTGCAGCCTCAACCTCCTGGCTCAGCCAGTCCTCCCATGTCAGCCTCTCGAGAACAAGCACAAGCCACCATCCCTGGCTAATTTTTTTGCTTTTTTTGGTAGAGGTGGGGGTCATACTTTGTTGACCAGGCTGGTCTTGAACTCCTGGACCCAAGTGATCATCCTGCCCTGGCTTCCCAAAGGGCTGGGATTATATGTGTGAGCCATAGAACCCAGCTGGTAAATGTGGTTTAAAATAAATGATCATAATACATTAATGTTAGGTAGCTATTATTTTAAAAAAGTCATTTTCAACTATACGTTTGAATGGAGCTGTAAGTCCAGATATACTGACCCAGTATTTTGTTATTGTTGTTAACTCAAACTGATTACATTTCTTTCAAGCAGATGAGCCAGATGACCGAAGCTGGCTGGAACATCATGTGGTCCATCAGTATTGGACAGCCAGGCCCTCCCAGTTTCCTCATAGTTTACATTTGCACTCCAATTTAGCTGCTGTCTGGTAAGAAGCTAAAGTTTTCATTTAATATGATGATAGAAGAAACTTTGATGTTTAGACATTTGGCTTTGATTTGTGACTTAAATCAAGTTCTTCCCTGAAATTTAAACTTGTTTTCGTTTTGAGAATTCTTTTTTCTCCTTTGTTTTTGGAGGCAGAGTCTCACTATAGTTGCTCAGACTGCAATGCAATAGTGAGATCTTGGCTCACTGCAGTCTTGACCTCACCCAACTAATTTTTTTTTTTTTTTTTTTTTTTTGAGACGGAGTCTCGCTCTGCTGCCCAGGCTGGAGTGCAGTGGCCAGATCTCAGCTCACTGCAAGCTCCGCCTCCCGGGTTTACGCCATTCTCCTGCCTCAGCCTCCCAAGTAGCTGGGACTACAGGCGCCCGCCACCTCGCCCGGCTAGTTTTTTTTTTGTATTTTTTAGTAGAGACGGGGTTTCACCGTGTTAGCCAGGATGGTCTCGATCTCCTGACCTCGTGATCCACCTGCCTCGGCCTCCCAAAGTGCTGGGATTACAGGCTTGAGCCACCGTGCCTGGCCCTAATTTTTTATTTTTTATTTTATTTTATTTTTTTGCAGGGGGGGACAAAGTCTCACTCTGTCTCCCTGGCTGGAGTGCAGTGGCATAATCATGGCTCACTGTAACCTCTGCCTCCTGGGTTCCAGCTATTCTCGTCCTTCAGCCTCCCAGGTAGCTGGGATTATAGGTGCATGCCACCACGCCCAGCTAATTTTTATATTTTTAGTAGAGATGGGATTTTACCACGTTGGCCAGGCTGATCTCAAACTCCTGTCCTCAAGTGATCC